TTACAGCAAGGATCATTCCCACCCCCTCCATACACAGAGTTGACAGGGATGGGCAACTTGGACATTGGCTACCCAAAGTGAGGGGGTAGTGGCTACAAAGGCAAGAAGTGACTGGCTTACAAGCTTTCGAGAACCTAGATACATAGGGTGTGGAGGAAGGTAGAATCTCCACTAAGTAGTACCCAATCTGTCTAGGCAGGGCTGATAAAAGGAAATTCGGATAGGTCTCTTGTGATACAATAGTGAATAATTGTTATCAGAACTGATTGTGAAGGCTGGAAATGTAAAGTTAGATGTTCTGTAGCAAGGAGGGGAGTGATTAGCTTTGCAGTCTAGGAGCAGAGGTCCCTGGAACTATCACGGGAGAACAGCGGAGAGGGGGACCCTACCCAGAGAAGCAGTGATGCCAGAGATGGAGGCAGAGACGATAATATAGAGAGATGGAGCGGCTGGGGACTTTAGACCCAAAGAGGGAGAGGGGCTGTGTGCTGATGACCAGGGGGTAGGCTTGCAGGGTATACCCTTTGGTTGGTTGATGATGCATGAAGGGGATTGTAACCATGGCAATGAAACGATATATGATAGGATGAATGTAAAACTAATATTCTCCCATGTAAACTATCACATAACTCACAATAAAACCTTTAAAAAAAAAAGATCAAAGACTACAGCCTTCGGTATGGATTCCATCTCAATGTAAAGAAAACAAAAATCTTCACCACTGGACCAATAAACAACATTCTTATCAATGGAGAAAAGATTGAAATTGTCAAGGACTTCATTCTTATTGGATTAACTACCAACACTCATGGAAACAGCAGTCAAGAAATCAAATGACGTATTGCATTAGGCAAATCTGCTGCACAAGACCTTTTTAGAGTGTTGAAAAGCACAGATGTCAGCTTGAGGACTAAGGTGCACCTGACCCAAGCCATGATATTTTCAATAATCTCATATGCATATGAAAGTTGGACAGTAAATAAGACCATAGAAGAACTGATGCTTTTGAGTTACGGTGTTGGAGAATATTGAAAGTGCCATGGGCTGCCCATAGAACCAACAGATCTGTGTTGGAAGAAGTGAGCCAGAGTGCTCCTTGGAGGCCAAGACAAACTTTGTCTCTCATACTTCGGACATATTGTCAGGAGTGACCAGTTGCTAGAGAAGGATATCATGTTTGGTAAGGTGGAGGGTCAGAGAAAAAGAGGAAGACCCCCAGCGAGATGGACTGGCCAAGTGGCAGCATCAATGGGCTCAAGCGTGGCAACAGTAGTGAGGTTGGCCCAGGATCGGGCAGTATTTCATTCTGCTGTGCATAAGGTCAGTATGAGTCGGTACTGACTCGATGGCACCTAACAACAATGGCAAATGATCGCAAACATCTCTTCATGTTTGTTGGCTGCCTGAATGTCTTCCTTGGTAAAGTGTCTTTTCATGTCCAGTGCCCACTTTTTAATTGTGTTGTCTTTTTCTTGTAGAGGTGTTATAGTTCCTATAAATTTTAGATATTAGTCCTTTGTCTGGTATGTCATTGCAAAAGGTTTTTTCTCATTCTGTGGGCTCCCTTTTTACTCTTTTGGTGAAATCCTTTGATACACTTAAGTTTCTAATTTTTAGAATGTCCCAATCACCTATTTTGTCCTTTGTGTAATTTTTGCTATGTTTGGTAGTCTGTGTGTGCCTTGTATTAAATTTATCCCTAAAAAAATAGAAGAAAAAAATTATTGCTATTTTTTCATTTTTCAAATCCACCAATCGATCCGTGGTATAAACATGAAGACGTCTGCTTCCATAAAGATACAGATAGTCTCAGAAACCCTATTAATGGTTACTATGAGTTGGAATCGACTCAATGGCAATGTGTTTTTGGTTTATACCTCTTACAAAACAAAGCAGATGTGAAAAGCATCAGAATTATAAAACGGATGTCAAGTGTAAAGACTGCGCAGACTATTTCTCTCTTATTCTTATGCATTGGGTGGTCCCACATGGCCTGCTTTTGCACTCCAAAAAACCAATGTTTTGTAAAAGCACCAGTTACATTTGTCAAACTGAGTGGGTTTGTCCAACAAACTAGATTACCCGGAGAACACTGAAGGCATTCTTGGGGGGCTCAACTAAACAGTATTTGTAAACCTCATAATATCCAAGGCAACTACTATAGACAGCTACTATACTTACAAGGAGTCCTGGTGTGGTGCTGTAGGATGATGCACTGAACCACAAGGTCAGTTTGAACTGCAAGGTCGGCGGTTCAAACCCACCAGTCACTCCTTGTAAATCCCATACAGGATTACTATGAGTCAGAACTGACTTGACAACACTGAACAATAAAATATTTACAAAGAAAATAGAACTTCATTCAGAAGTCACCTGAGCTTAAAATAGTGCCATGGTTCCTACTCCCTTTCTGACTTCTGTTCCCCCAAATGATAAAGTTCCCTATCATTGGAACAAAAATTTGATGCTCATACCAAACAGGCTGTGATATTTTACAAATACTTTTGCATAGAGAAGCAGTCTTTGAGTGACCATGAAGGAAGTGAGACACACTTGTTAAATGCCGTCGAGTCGATTCCAACCCATAGCGACGCCGTATAGGGTTTCCAAGGAGCAGCTGGTGAGCTTGAACCACTGACCTTGCAGTTCAAACTGACTTTACAGTCAGACGCATTAGCCCACAGCACCACACCAGGATACGGTAGGAGTGTTTAAACTCACAGCACAGACAGCTGTAGGCACAGAGCACAGCTAGAATCTGGCAGTGATGTTTCTCTTCAACTTGCTCCGAGAACACATCCTACTTCAGAAGTACAGTCCTACCGCATGATGTTAACAGCTACCAGTCTCACAACCATACCATGAGAACCATTGCCTGACCAATGGTGAGAGAGGAAACTGGCCTCAATCTTGATCAAGCCTCTCAGTGTCAGCTAAAAAAAACTGCCCGTTAAAGAGTTAGAAATGGCACAATTACACTGGCTTATAAATCATCCTACACACACAGACTGAGAGTTGTTAACATGATTGAAAGCATGAAGCACTCCTGCCAAAATTCTATCTCAATGTAAATTTTCAATCAAAGATAACTGGTGGGCAGATATGAGAGACAAAGGTTATTCTAGTATTTTACTTGACCTCTGAGATTTGGTTCCTTTCTGGTCTGCCCAGCAATGCTCCAGAAATGTTTTGCTGAATTACTGCATCTGGTATGTTCAGTTGTTGGCAGTGTCTGGTCCACCATGCTCCCAAAATCAAAGACCCAGATGCCTCCTAGTAATAATGGCAGAGTTCCAAGCCAGCAGCTTCCAGATCTTTCTTTAATAGGCACTCAAGATGCAGCAGTTGAGAAACACTACAACCAGGAAGTTCACATTATAGGGCAGTACAAGTTAGTGGTTTAAAAGGGAAAAATAAACTAGTCCCCACCATTTGACAGCAGCAAATCTTTATTTCTCTCACTGTAAAGACATTACTTAAAATAAATAAATAAACCAAAAGTCTTAAGCAAATCTCATTTTGGGGCCTCAGCTGCTGGGTCCAAACCTTGGTGGCCCATGTATCAGAGGCAGTTGGCCCTCCTCACCCCATGTCACAATGGAGCTCAGGATGGGGGTCTACAGAGGTCATGGCAAGTACAGGGTTTCTGCTCTCCAGGTGCTTCCAGACAGCAGGAATCGTGGAGAGGCATGGGTGACCAACACAGCATTGTTCTCTCTCCATGTGAAGTTTACCTGGAAACTCAACAGTCAGTACTCCCAAGAGCAGAAACGAACTCAAGTGCTTTAAAAGTTACACCTCAAAGGAGGCCAAACTGGCCCACAGGCTTTGTTCCAAAGGGTATACTTATGTGTGTGTGCAGGTATGCTTAAAAAGATGTGTAGATGTGCATTTCCACCAGTGTGTTTATGTATGCATATATAGGTGTGTGTGTAGATATGCATGGGTAAGTATATATGTGTATAAGTGTTCACGTAGTCTACCAGCGTGCGTGTGCAGTGGTGTGCATGTGCCAGTGTGTGCTTGCATACCAGTGTGCATATATATGGGTGCGAGTGGGCACCAGTGTGTGTGTGCAGGTATGCCTGTGTACCAGTGTACGTATAAGTGTACATGTGCATCAAGGCATGTGTATCTCCACATGCACACTCAACCATCTCAACAGAGAAGTGTCAGACCCAATGGACCCAACGTTCCTGACACACAGACACCCTGAGATGTGCTCCAGAGCAAATCAAGGTTAAAACAATTACCAAAATCTTTCACTCCGGAAATCCACCAACCACAGACTTGACCCCAGTGGCCAGACAGAAGGGTCCACCACAATCTAAGGCTGGTTTCTAAAATAGGTCAGTAGAGAGTGCTGGCAATCTTGGGCCTGCTTCCTCACTGTGCTAGTTCTAAGCACAAAGGCCCAGCCTCGTCCTGGGCTCTGATGGACCAATAACACCTGAGCCCATCTGCAATTTCCTCAAATCAGCTAAATGACAAGCTCATATTCCCCTCAGCAGGGGTCTCAGCCCTTTTCCTGAGCCAGAGAACCCAGGTCTACACTCCTCAGATAGGCACGGAGTGCCAGGGGCTTCAAGGATGCATCTAAAACCTGCAGCCCCAGAATGAGGGGGTACTCACAGCTCACATGGGCTCACTCTGGAAAATGCTGGCCATTTGGTCACCCACCCACCCCCGGCCCTCCTTCCCCAGTGAGGCCAGCAATGTGGCGGTAGCAGTACATTAGAATGCCTGCTGAGCTGCAGAGGGTACAGCAAACAAATAGGTGAGCTCCACAGGCATCTAAGCCCAGCCACCGTGAGAGGGGAACCATAGTTACTTGGTAGCTTTGGGCCACCAGTCCGGCACAGAAGCAGTTAAGGCCACATGACCATTTTCAGAAGTCTTGATGTAGAGAGGACCCTTGATTGTGTCAGTGTGTAGCAGAGCCAGCCCCACATCACCCTCACTGGCCCTGAACTTTCCAGCAACCTTTCCTGCCTCGGTGAGGACAGAGGTGCCAGATGCAATGCCGTCCGCAGGGAGTGGGCCGCACAGGTGTATAGGGAACAGGCGCTTGCGGATGACGCCCATGTGGTGAGTGCGGGCAGTCAGTTCCTGGCCAATATAGCAGCCTTTGGTGAAGCTAACTCCGTTCATGAAGGCCAGGTTGGACTCCAAAGGCAGAGCCACTCCAGGGGGCAGGTCTTGGACCCCCTCTGGAATGCCTGTTGAGATAGGAGGGAGGAGCTGGGTTAGAGCTGGGATGAAAGTGACTCAGAAGACCTCAGCCATGCTGCCAGGAGAGCCAGGCCCAGGTAAGCACCAGGGAACAAGACACCTGTGTGACCCCAAGTTCCACCTGCCCCCGCCTCTCAGTTTGTGATGCTTCCCCACCTGGATATCTGGGGCTCTATACTGAAGGACTCATCACCCAGCACCCACTGAAGAGCCTCAGTTCACACCTGGCAAGCGGAATGCCAGGTGAGCCCACCTCTGACACTGTCCCCATCCAGACCACCTGCCTGTGCAGATCCCTCTGCAGACCACTCTCCACATTGCTGACAGGCCTTCTGCCTCCCCCGCTACCCAGCTGAATGTGTTACCTTGCCGGTACCGGTGCTTGTGATAGTCCCTGAGGTCCCCGCGCTGGCTTCCGGGTACCAGGTGCAGAGCTGAGCTCTCCCTAAGAGTGAGCAGCCGCCAACCCATACAGGCCGTCCTGGGGTCAGCAGCTAGAATTGTGGCCCCCTCTGCCTTCTCCTGCAGGGGCAAGGCCCTGTGGGCCCCAGGGGTGCTAGGCAGCATAGCCCATGCTCCCATCTCCTGGCAGAGCTCCACTTCTACCTTCCGCCGGATCCGGTAGAACATCAAATGCTTCTGCAGCGTGTCTGCCACTGAGATGTCACACTCAAGGAAGAAGCCAACCGCCGAATCCACACCATCCTCGGGGAGCCTGGGGGGAGACACAGTGTATGGGAGGCAGAAGGTACCTGCCATTCCTCATGGATACTGTGGGCATGAAACATACAGGGACTGACCCTCTGGACCACAGACTTCTATGCTCCAGCACCAGCTGAGAGTACGCTAAGCCAATGCACCAGTCCTGTGACTAGAATCAGATGGGGTCATGGCCAGGCTAGTCCTGACACTGTGAGCCAGCACCAACGTAAACTGAGATGGGCTCGGGGACCTAGAGACGCCCCACCACGAGGATGGAAAAAAGGGCTATGCACCCTAGCCAGACAGTAGCGCAGGCAAGGAGACAGGTTCAATAGTGGCACCCTGTGCTGAGAGAAGACAGAAAAGCAGTGCAAGCCACACTGGGGTGCGGGGTCTATGTCCTGCTGTGACAGGTGCAGCTGGAGTCTCAGGAAGACCATTCTGGGTATGGGGGGAGGGGGAGAGGGTGCAAGCACTAAGTGTGGAGGCCTGGCTCTGTCAAGGGTAGAGGGAGCAATGGACTGGGGCTTTGCTGTGGCCATACCCCTTCTCCACAGTCCCCAAGGCAAACACCATGGGCTCTCCTGATTTTAACCTAATCTGCATTTAGTATGACACTAGCTTGTCACCTGGGTCAGATATCTCCCAGGCTTCTGATCTGGGCAATCGGGTAGTCAGTGTTGCCATTTTCTGACCAAGTAGATATAGAAGAAGAGAAATGGTAGAGTTTGGGGCATGAACTAGAAGTGTGTGGGGAACACCTACTTAGAGAATGTAGGGGACAACCAATTCAATAGCCCTGGGGCCAGAAGGGGGACCCAGATTATAGATACAACTGAGTAAAGATCAGCATGAAGAGACAGAATGGGGGTAAGATCACCAGGTATTCCCTACCCGCAGAAGGCATTGGCAGGTACTCCTCTGCATCCCACGTCAGCCTCCCAGGTAAGAGAGGGTATAATCCTTTTCCAGAGAAGCCAATCGTGATCAGAGTTAAGGCAGAGTGCCAGGGCGATTTCCAAAGGTTTTCCCTACAGTGCACTGTTCATCATGTCCCGCCCTGCCCACAGTCCTTCTAGTCAGTTTCTGAGCGTTCAAGCAAGAATAACCACACAGTTGAAGAAATAACAGAGACTAAAACAGGAAGAGATTATGCCTTTAAAACACGTATGTTATTGTTGTCAGGTGCCATCAAACTGGTTTTGACTCACAGTGACCTTACGTACAACAGATCAAGACACTGCCTGGTCCTGTGCCACCCTCACAATCATTGTTGCAGCCACTGTGTCGATTCATCGCATGGAGGATCTTCCTCTTTTTCACTGACACTCCACTTTATCAATTACCATGTCCTTCTCTAGGAACTGGTCCCTCCTGATACTATGGTCAAAGTATGTGAGTCTCACCATCCTCGCTTCTAAGGGGTATTCTGGCTGTTTTTCAAAAACAGCAGTTCATCCTTCTGGCAGCCAATGGATATTCAATAGTTTAGTTTAATTAGTAAAGAATTTCAACTCTGAGCATTGTACTCTTTTGAAGAATTATATAAACATGGGATCAAATTGACAACAGCAACTTGAAAGGCTAGATAGGAAGTTCACAGGATAGAGTTTATGCTAATGAGGGAAGAACAAGGGGGTGGGATTCAACAAGGAAGGTGAGAATGGCTGTAAAACCTAAAGCATGTGATCAGTGTTTCTGAATCACACATGCACAATTTGTTGTACTTGTGTTTGTTCTGTGGTGTATCTTCTCAACAACAAAAGTAAATAAGTTTTTTTAAAAAGATTCAATCCAAAAAATTAAATATCCTCTTAATGGGAACTCCAGAGAGAACAGAGAAAGCACTGGGGAGAAAATAGGTCCCTCCCCCAGTTGTGACAACCAGAAATATCTCTGTTGTTGGTTGTTAAGTACCATGGAGTTGGTTCCGACTCATAGCGACCCTACACAAGGTTTCCAAGGCTGTAAATCTTTACGGGAGCAGAATGCCTCATGCCAAATGTCCCCTCAAAGTAAGCTTTCCAGATAAATTTCATTAAGGATCCCCAGTTAAGTTTTAATTTCATATAAATCACTTTAGTATGTATGTCCCAAATATTGCATAAGACATATGTATACCAAAAACATGTTTAACTGAAATTCAAACTTAACTAAGCATGCTATATTTTTATTTGCTTAATCTGGCAGCCCTGTTAATGGTGGTGGTTGCTCTGGAGCCAATTAAGACTGAGAACTACGCCATGTGGGCAAAATTGTTGTTGTTGTCAAATACCGTTTAGTCGATTCCAACCCATAGAGACCCTGTATAGGGTTTCCAAGGAGCAGCTAGATGGTGAGCTTGAACCACCGACCTTGCAATTCAAATGGCTTTGCAGTCTGGCGCATTAACACACAGCGCCACACCAGGACTCCATGTGGGTAAAATAGCCCAGTGGAAAACTGAGAGGAAGTTGAGGGTCATTGGGCAGTTCCTGCAACCACCACAAGAGGGCATCCACCCACCCACTTTCCCACCTAGAGTGAAGGCTTAAGAAAAATCCACAAAGGAAAATATACAAAAGCCAAGGTCTGCAATTCAAGGTTCTCCATGCTCCCATGCCTCTTCTCCACACGCCTCCCCTTCTGATACACCTCCCGGCTCTTGCTTCCCTTCCCCATTAGCTGGCTCTTCCCCCTCCAGTAAAGCTTCGCAGATCAATCAAATCCCAGGGGGAACTCTGCCTTTGCTGCTAGTGAAGTTCTAAGCCAGTTCCACAAAAACAGAGTGCAGGCTAGTCACAACAGCAAAAAGATGGAGACAGCCTACATGTCCATCAATGGAGAATGGACAAACAAACTTTAGTACATAAACACAACGGAACACTATGCAACCTTGAAGAATATCAATGAATCTACAAAGCACCTCATAACATAGATGGTGCTCCAGGACATTATGCTGAGATTGTCAGTCATAAAAGGACACATATTGTATGAGACCATTATTGTAAAAGCTTAAGAACAGATCTCCATACTAAAAGAAAACATTCTTTGATGATTATCAGAGGTGGGAAGGAGAGAATAACTCACTAGCTAGAGGGTAGACATGTTAGCTCCAGTTACAGGGATGGAAATGTACAAAGAGGGGGAGGGCAATACACCAGAAGAGGCAGATAAACAATGAAGATACGGGAAAACTTAGGGAAGTATGCACAGGATAACTGGAGTAGAGGTAAATAAAGATTTATACACAACCTTGGAAAAACAGTGTTCTGTGAGTAGATACATGGAGCAAGGCATGATGGGTAAAGGAGGGGAAAAATGTCCATGTTTGACTGTCTGTGGATATTGGTCTCCCCTGCCTACTACTGTAAAATAGACATTTACATGTGATAGAAATGAATACTGGGAATTGTGATGACAGACAGCTTGTAAGCCTGCCTTCAACCTATAACTAATTGTATTTGCTAAAAGGGAAATAGGCTTCTTGTGAAGCCTTTGTAGAGTATGGGGCCTTAGGTAGAACCCTAAGCCCCACCCAGCACCTTCTGAGTTAAGACATTCCCACTTGCAAAGACATACAGACCAACCCAGACCTACTGGGAAAACAGAAGGTTCTTATTGAAAGAAAGTCCTACAGAAAAAAATAGTGGATTGGTTGGCTGTTTGAACTTCAAGCAAGCTGTTTTCTTTGGAGACATCAAGGCAAGAAAAGTCAATGCACCCTTCTAGGACTGAAAAGTCTAGTACGCTTGCTGGTGACTGTCTGGTTCTACTTGTGAGTGGGAGTGGGAGATATACAGCAGTGAAGGCATGGACTGAGTTTGACCATGTTTCATTGGCACCCATTGACCTTGAGATGAGAAAGAAAAGAGGAAGGGCTAGCTGGTGCGGAAGTTTAGTAAGACGTGTGAACTCCTAAGCCCACAGGCACTGAACCAGCCCCTAGGGTCTAGAGCTGAGCGATTCAGCAGGTCTGAAGTGCAGAAAGGTGTGTGTGAACTCCCAAACTTACAGCTAGTATCCATTTGACCTAGAGTGGATGGCTAGTTGCCCAGAACTTGACCCAATGAAGACAAAGATGTTTGATACTGTGAACAAGAATGCAAATTGCTACAATTTGATGAACTAGACTTTTGCTTATGAATGCAGTGGCTCAAAAGTTCAACTGGAATGGAAGGACTTTCATATTAGAGAACAAGCTTGTATCTTCAGTGTACTTGGTTGGTAGGAATGAGAAATTTAGACATTGGGTATCAAAACTGGGGGATGATGGCTAATAATGGCATGAAGTGGTTGGTTTACAAGCTTTCATGAGTGTGCTTAGTTTCAGAATGAAGCGGGGGATAAGGTAGAATCCACACTGAATAGTTTTCCAGATGGATCTGATGATAGGGGATGGGGGAATGATGCAGATAGGATTTTGATTTAATTGTGAGTAACTGTTGGTGTCGGTGATATTGGTGGTTGCTTATGTGCCGTGGAGTCAGTTCCGACTCATAGTGACCCTGTATAGGGTTTCCAAGGCTGTAAATCTTTATGGGAGCAGAAAGCCTCATCTTTTTTCACTGTAATTGTCACAAGTGAAATTGTAGAAGACTAAAAGTGTGGAGTAGTGAATCTATCATTTCAGGAACAGAAGATCCCAGGACCAACAAGAAGGAAGAGCACAAGTAAAGCATGAGCTCCCTGCCTAGATAATCAATGAAAGCAGAAACAGTGACAGAGGAGGTGGCATGGAGAGACAGAGCAGTTGCAGGCTCTAAGGCTATGGACTTAGAAGGGTTGTGTGCTTGCAGGCAGAAGCCTGGCTGGCAGAGTGCCTTTTCAACATTTGAATGTATATCTATATATATAATTTTGTTTTGTATGTGTACATTTAAATATTTTTGCTTTGTTCATTTGTGAAATATAAGATGTAAATGGGAAGTCACAGGGAGAAAGCAGGCTAACTGCTATTGTATGAGGGGAATTGCAATCATTGAGATGACACAAAGTGTATACTTTGTTGATTGTGAAGTTGATGATTTTATC